TAAATAAAATTGACAGACCCTTAGCCATCTAAAGAAGAGGAGAGAGAAAACTCAAATTCCTAACATACATGATGAAAAAGGAAATATCACAACACTAGAGAAATACAGAAGATAGTTAGAAATTATTTTGAAAATTTGTACTCCAATAAAGTAGAAAATATCAAAGGCATTGACAAATTTCTATTGCCCAAATTAAATCAGGATGATTGATATACACAATTTAAACAGATCAATTYCAAACAACAAAATAGAAGACACCATCAGAAGCCTCCCAACCAAGAAAAGTCCAGGACAAGATGGATACACAGCTGAGTTCTACAAGACCTTTAAAGAAGAACTAACAACAATACTCTTCAACTTATTTCAGTACATAGAAAAAAAGAGGGAGCACTTCCAAACTCACTCTATGAAGCCAATATCACCCTGATTCCAAAACCAAGCAAAGACACATCAAAAAAAGAAAACTTCAGACTAATATTTCTAATGAACATAGATGCAAAAATTATCAATAAAATTCTGGAAAATTGAATACAAAAACATACCAAAACATGATCAAGTGGGGTTCATTCCAGGGATGCAATGTTGGTTCAACATACGGAAATCAATAAATGTTAATTCATCACATAAATAGACTTAAAGAACCATATATCACCTTGATAGTCGCAGAAAAAGCATTTAACAAAATACAGCACTCCTTCATGTTAAAAACACTAGAAAAACTAGGGATAACAGGAACATATCTCAATATTTTAAGAGCTATCTATGCTAAGCTCCAGGCCAACATCATTCTAAATGGAAAAAAATTGAAAGTATTCCCTCTAAAAACTGGAACAAGACAGGGATGCCCTCTTTCACCACTTGTTTAACATAGTTCTTGAAACACTGGCAAGAGCAATTAGATGAAAGAAATTAAAGGGATTCGGATAGGTAAAGAAGAACTCAAATTAGTACTAATTGCTGAAGATATGATTCTATACTCAGAAGACCCCCAAAACTTCTAGAACTAGTAAACGAATTCAGCAAAGTAGCAGGATACAAAATCAACACCCATAAATCAAAGGCATTTCTGTATATCAGTGACAAATCCTCTGAAAGGGAAATGAGGAAAATTACCCCATTTACAATAGCATAAAAAAATTAAAAAAATAAAAACTTGAAAATCAGCTAAAGAGGTGAAAGACTACTACAATGAAAGCTACAGAATGCTAAAGAAAGAAATTAAAGAAGACCTTAGAAGATGAAAAGATCTACCTTGTTCTTGGATAGGCAGAATTAATATTGTCAAAATGACCATGCTACCAAAAGCACTATACAKATTTAATTCAATTGCAATCAAAATCCCAATAACATTCCTCATAGGAATAGAAAAAGCAGCCATTCCTCTGCAAGTTCATCTGGAAAAATAAGAGACTCAGAATAGCTAAAACAACCCTTAGCAAGAAGACCTTAAACTATACTACAGAGCAACAGTAACAAAAACAGCATGGTATTGGCACCAAAATAGACTTAAAGACCAATGGTACAGAGACTAACCCACATAATTACAGTCATCTTTTATTTGACAAAGGCGCCAAAAATGTACATTGAAGAAAAGATAGCCTCTTCAACAAATGGTGCTGGGAAAATTATAAATACATATGCAACAAAATGAAATTAAACCCCTCTCTCTCACTATGCACAAAACTCAACTCAAATGGATCAAGGACCTAGGAATGAAACCAGAGACACTGCATCTATAAGAAGAAAAAGTAGGCCCTAATCTTCATCATGTGGGATTAGGCCCCAACTTCCTCAATAAGACACCTATAGTACAAAAATTAATATCAAGAATCAACAAATGGGATGGATTCAAACTAAAAAGCTTCTTCTCAGCAAAAGAAACAACCAGTGAGGTAAATAGAAAGCCTACTAATTGGGAACAAATTCTTACCACATGCACGTCAGAGAAATAATCTCTAGAATATATAAAGAACTCAAAAATCTTAATACCAAAAAATAAATAAATAATCCAGTCAATAAATGGACTAAGGAACTGAACAGACACTTCTCAGAAGAGGATATACAATCAATCAACAAATGTATGAAAAAATTTTCAACATATCTAGCAATTAGAGAAATGCAAATCAAAAGTACTCTAAGATTTCATCTCACTCCAATCAGAATGGCAGCTATTAAGAATACAAACAATAAGTGGTGGTGAGAATGTGGGGGGAAAGGCACACTCATATTACTGGTGGGACTGCGAAAACAGAATGGAGAAATCTTGGAGAACCAGGAATGGAACCACCATTTGTTTGACCCAGCTATCCCACTCCTCAGTCTATACTCAAAGGACTTAAGAAGAGCATACTATAGGGATACAGCCACATCAAATTTTATAGCAGCACAATTCACAATAGAGAAACTGTTGGACCAACCTAAATGCCCTTCAGTAGCTGAATGGGTAAAGAAAATGTGGTATATATACACAATGGAATATTATTCAGCAATAAAAGAGAATAAAATCATGGCAACTGCAGGTAAATGGATAAAGCTGAAGAAGATAATGCTAAGTGAAATTAGCCAATGCTGAATGATTTCTCTGATTTAAGGCTGCTGATCCATAATATGCTGGGGTGGGGGATGGGAGAGTTAAATGAACTCTAGATAGGGAAAAGGGGAAAAAGGGAAGGAAGAGGAAGGGAGGGGACATAGGGGTAGAAAAGATGGTGGAATGTGATGGTCATCATTACTCTTAAGTACATGTAAGAAGACATGAAGGATGTGACTCTACTTTGTGTACAACCAGAGATATGAAAAAGTGTGCTTTATATGAGTAATATGAATTGTAATGCATTCTGTTGTCATATATAACAAATCAAAATTTAAAAAAATAAATAAGCAAATTAACATTTGGAAAAAATAGCTTCTTTAGCAGCTTAATGACAATGAAACACTGTTTTTTGTTTATCATGCCCAAGATCAGTTAAACATCCTATACCGATAAGGATCAAAGGAAAATGAACATTCATATCTTAATAGAGTAGATGGTCTTTGGTAATTTCAGTAAGTCTACACTAGAAATTTCTTTCCAAAAGCACCATACACACAGATTTATGTGTATTTATTAAAATATTATAAAAACTAACTCAAAACCAAAAAAACAGGACAATGTCTAGTAAATTATTAGGGATCTATATTACAGTACTATGACAACACTGAAAAACCTTGTTTTTCCAATATTTAACAACATAATTTGTGGGTAAAAAAATGTGTACATAACAATATACAGTAATTTTAGGTTTTGATAAATAAAATGTACACATATAAACTCACAAAATTGAATTTTTCTTTTTACATTTATCTAATTATCTAGAGCAGGGGTCAGCAAAATTTTCTGTAAAGAAATGTTCTACAGGGCATAGGTCTTTTGTCACAGCTATACAACTCTCACTGGCACTGGGCCAAAACAACATAGAAAATAAGCAAAAATTGGGAGTGGTTAAATTCCAAGAAAGTTTTATTTACAAAAATAAGTGCATGGGGCTGGGGTTGTGACTCAGTGGTAGAATACTTGCCTAGCACATGTGAGGTCCTGGGTTCCAGCCTCAGCACCACATATAAAAATGAGAAAATCTAAAAAAAAAATAGGTGCAGAGTCAGATTTAGCCAACAGGTAATATGGCAGTTAACTGACCTGTATCTAGCATGGAAGTGTACTAATTTTACGTAATTATTCTTTGTAACGCTTCTACAAACTTAGGGAAAATTAAATGAAAATTTTAAATTATCTTCTCAGGTGTTACGTTACTCCTTTCAAATGCATCAAAACCTCCTTCAGGGCAGAATTTTATTCTTCATATACCCCACCCACTTTATGAACTGATTTTTCAAAAATAAATTATTATTTTCTACTTATGTTCTGAGGAACCTATTTTACACCCAGAATCAAGTCCTTGTAGTCCAAACTGACTTTATTTATATAAGGATCCATAATAAATTTTCTTGAGGATTTTCTAGACCAATTAAATGCGAAACCCTCACCTGGCTATTCCTTATATAAACTTCCCACTTTAGTAGTGAATTTTAATCACCAAAGTTTCCTCACATAGATGACTAAATTCTTCTAGATTAGCAAGGGCAATCCCAGTGCTTCCCCAGAACCCAGGGTACATGGAGAGCATAGCATGTGTCTTTATGGGTTTGAGACTGATACCAGAATGTTCCTTTACTACTCTTTATAAAAATATATACTAGCAAAGGGGATCTTGTGAAAACAGAAGGGACATCAGTAGAATAGAAGTGGGGGATAAAGGGAAAGGAARGAAAGAAGGGGGAGGAAAGGGAATGAAGGTAACTATTGAATGAAGTTTATCAAATTATGCTATGTGCATGAGTAAATATATTACAATGCATTCCAACTCTATATGTAACACACCAATCAAAAAGTAGAAGACCAAGAAAGTAGAAGGGGGGAGGGAGGAGCAAGAGGAAGTACTTGGGATTGAAATAAAGAAAATTAATGTGTTTATGAATGTCAAAATGAATCCATTATAYATAACAATAATCCTCTACACACAAACAGATAGTAGGTAGCCATTTAATTATTTAAAGTTTGTGCACCTCTGGTCAAGAGGACTAGTAAAGAAATTTATGCTCTGACCAAGGAGATACATGGAGTGCAGTCATTTAATATGACTTTGCACACTATTTCATCATGGTAAAGGAAACATACAAATAATTAAATTTTAAAAAACAGATACATACAGTATTTGCATACATTGTATACAAGAAAAAAATTCTACAAAATGCACACACAGGTAATAGTTGGGAAAGTAAATAAACACCAAAATGTTTGCATTGGTGGCCTTAGGGTGTTGAGAATAACTACAATTTGGAGGTGAGTACTTCTTTTTTCTTCAATCAACATACATTTGCAAAAATGCAAAGCAGAAGACCTATTAAGGTTCATGGGGGAAAGTGGTCTAAAACAATGTCTCACACATGTTGTCTCTTTTTAGCCAGTTTGCAGGACCTGGGTCATATTTCATGACTGCAGCGCCCATGACAAGCACTGTGTTCCTCTATGGCTATGCTTTTAAACATATTGATCCAACATAGACTTCAGATATACTTCTCCAGGTATTCCCAGCTGATTCTGTCATCTGCAGTTTCCTTCCGTTGTGTGAATGGCTTCATAGCAAGAGGGAGACTTGTGCTTTTCTAATTTCCCTCTTCCATAATATACACCCAAGGAAAATGCTGCTGCCTTAACGACTATCCCTGATTGCACGGCATTGTCTCACTTGTGCTTGAGGTTGACGCTGGAAAACAAAATATTCTGCATGGAATCCTGATTCCTGGAAACACATCTAAAGCTGCAAACACTTGAAAAGAAATTTTGACACATGTACTGTTACAGAACTGCTTTTGATTTTTTTCCCATGAGTATCCAATGACTTCATCATAAAAATTAACTTTAGTACTTCAAAAGATAGATTTAAAAAATGTATACAACAGATAGGACCTAAACCAGTGCTTCCTGGTCTTGAATTTGCATACAAATCACATAGGAATTATGTTAAAACATAGGTTCCAATTTACTATCCCAAGTTCCAATTTACTATCCCACATTTTTATTACCAAATGACTGCAATCGCCTTCAAAGCCTTAAATAGAATAGACATGTGTAGATAATTCCAATCTAATAATATTTTACATGGATTTAATTATTGACTTTTTTCCTCCCCAGTATTAGGCATTGAATCCTGGGGTGCTCCACAACTAAGTTCCACCTCCAGGCCTTTTTATTTGGGTACAAGTTCTCACCAAATTATCCAGGCTGGCCTTGAACTTGTGAAACTTGTGATCCTCCTGCCTCAGCCTCCCAAATCCAAAGGAATATAGGCATGTGCCGCCTGTGCTTGGCCATATACACCCTAAACAAATACTCTTTAAGAAAAYCATCCAAAGTATTTTGAATGCTGCTTAGCCACCGATATTGCATACCCACAACACAGAAACTCCTTCCTCCTGCTTCCATCTACTTCTGCTCGCCCCATCCCTCAGACTCAAATTCTACTACTCCTTTGCATGAGGTTGGATTGACATGTTTTCTACTCTCTTGGGGTTCTGTTTCTCTGCACTTGATTGCATTTACATATACATCGTACTTGCCTTATCTAGATTACTGGTCCCTTGAAGGCACTGTGATGGATTCTGAGCACGTGCTTCCAAATAAACTGGGTTCATGGCTCAGTTCTGCTACTTATATTTAATTGACAAAGTATACTACCATTCCTAAGACTGTTTTGTCTGGGAAAATAGTAATCACACCATACCTACTATACATTATGCTGAGAATTATAGGAAATACTTAAATCATCTTGCAAATGGGCACCATATTAAGTCCTACTAAATGAAGCTAAAATGACAATGATATACAGCATTTAATGTGATTTTTTTCCTAGAACATCACTTAAAAAGTTAAAACTGTCCTTTTTAAAGTAATATTTCTAAATAGGAAAAGAACAACATAAGTCTCTGAATGGCCACTAGGATTTTCAAGATTTTCTCATCTAAAATTCCCACAAATTAGGATGTTGAAAATTTTATCAGGAAGATCTGGTATCATCTCTTCTCTGAGAGCTCCCCAAACATATCTAGTAATTGAAATAACCAAGCTGAAACTGTACCATCTTAATAATCATATTATAACTTATGTATTCTAAATTTATATTCTGTGATAACTTTATGAGAATTTAGTATGAACTGGTATTGGAACATTTTAAATGATTAAAATTCTCCAAATGATTCCCAAAACTTCACATATTAATTTTTTCTTTAAAATGTTTATAGACTTTTTAAAGGTCATTGAAGAAGAGAACTGAGTGAAAAACTGGTAAAAATAGTAACACAGATTCAAGGTACATCAAATTCCATGTGAAATATAAAACACCCTTATCTAGATACACCAGAGTGAATTTAACACACTAAAGGATAGCCATTTCTGTATGGAGAAATGGCTATCCTTTAGGATGAAAAAGTGAGCTTGTAAACCTGAATAATAATCAGCCAACTAGAAGATTTTAACAAGTTATCCATTTTTGACAATAATAATGGAAGTAGGAGGAAACTTAGAAATAACTAGACTTTATTTATTCTCTATCATAAACTGTGGTTTTTAAGATTTAAAATCCCCTCATTATAGATGACAATAATAGCAACAGAGAAGTCCTAGTTTATGACTCTATAATCCCAAAACATGCGATGAATAAAAATACAACCTGGGTGATTCAATTAATATTTTTAAATTAGCTTTAAAGACAATCCAGAAATGTGAAAATGCAACTAGGAAATACTGGAGATAATAAACTTTACCAGTAATCAAGAAAAGGAAAGATATGCATCTGTAATCCTAGAGGCTTGGTGCACTGATATAGGCTTGATAGTTCAAAGCCAGCCCTGAAGCAACTTAGCGAGATCCCGTCTCAAAAAATAAATAGAAAGGGCTGGAGATGTGGCTCAGTGGTTAAGAAGCCCTGAGACCAATCTCAGTACCAAAAAAGGAAAAGATGAAGCATTTTTTCTTATCTCCTAAATCTAAATTAGCAATCACTAAAAATTCACTCAAACAACTGGAGGGTGGGAGTAAAAAAAAGTGATCCACATGTCTTTTTGGTGTTAGTAAAAATTAAATAATTCCTTTAAATAGTAACTGAGGATAAAGTTAATCTTTATAAGCCAATAGTGTGATTTATAAAATTTATTCCAAGAAAGGTTCCAAATCAAATGTTACATTATGATGTATTCAATTAACATTCTGAAAAATGACATATGACCATGAATGCTACACATAGTAATACAGAAAATGTCTGAAATGTTAATATGTACACAATTTGCTCATCAATTTCGTTTCTAAGAACACAAGACCCTCAAACTATTTACAGGTAATATTTAAATCTTRAGAAGCTGGAAACAATCTCATTGTTCATCATGGGAATTATGAAATTCTGAATAGTGTTCACCACTGAAAGAAAATGTGGATCTGTATCTAACAAAAGAAACCCATGATGTATTGAAGAAAAGTWCAAAACAGTAAGCATAGTATACTCCCATACTACTTTTTCATCTACATGAAAGAAACCAAAAGTACTTAAAATATACACACACAGGACCATGAAGTCTTTATAAAAATATTTTCTGTATTTTCAGGTTCTTTGCATGAGTACGTATTTACACCATCAGAAAATAAATGTTCTCTGTTTGCAATAAAATTGTGTGGGCAAGATGTAATGGCACATGCCTATAATCCCAGCAATTTGGGAGACTGAGGCAAGAAGATTACAAATTCAAGGTCAGCCTCAGGAACTTAGCAAGGCCCTGTTTCAAAATTTAAAATAGAAGGGTCTAGGGATGTGGCATAGTGATTAAGCATCCCTGGATTCAGTCCCTGGTACCAAACCAAACCAAACCAGAAAGAAAGTACAATTGTTTTGTGGGAATATAGGAGTATTAAACATTAATACTGCACAAGCAAAATTTCATGTGGACAAGAAGAAAATGTGATGGATGAAAACAAAGCTGGATCATTTATGGTAAGATGGTTGTGAACTTTGATTTCCAATGATATTTTTGCAACATCTAGGGTTTTAAAATTCATACTTTTACTTATTAAAACTGCTCAAACTAGAAGCTTCAAAGTAGGAACATAATACAGGGTAAATTTTAAAGTTAGAATCCTACTTTTGCCATTAAATATATAGCTGTGCAATCCTGGCTAAATGAATACCTAAGTATCAGTTTTCTTGTGATGAATATTGCTCTAAAGGGTTTCAGTGTCCATTGAAGATCAAATTATATGAGGTACATAGGATGACTAATATATATATGGTGGTCATACTAGTAGCTCAAACTGTACAAAGTTATACTGTTGTTTTTTATCTAAAAAAAGCTAGTTTCTTGTGCTCAAACAAACAGCTCTTATTTTGAAATGTTTCATGCCAATTCCCAAAGCTAATTACTAATTTAAATATGTATTCTAAATGGCTCATGAGAATCTTTTTTTAGCAGTTGGAAGAGATCTCATTTTAAACTTAGGGAACTGAAACCATCTAAATTCCCAAACACCAATTAATGGCAGAACTTGAACACAGAAAACTTTACTCCAGTTTAAAGTTTCAAAGAGCCCCAATCCTTAGACTTTAATAATAATAATTAAAAAAAATCATTACAATGCCATTTACAGGGGGGGAAAAAAAGGAGAAAAAGGATTTCAATCTTTATATATTGAGAGACATTTTAGTTCCTCAAGGGACGGGTTCATGTGGAGGTGGAAATACTCTAAAGAAACTAAATGTTCTTCTTGGTACTGGTTTTGGTTAATTGAAAAACAATTTAAAACAACAAAAAAGTACAAAATAATTGGGATAGATTTGTAATAAATAATAGTGGCAGGTGAAAACCTAGGGCAATTTAGTATTTACCTTTTCAAATTCTATAGATAAGACAGACAGGGAAAATCCCATTACAATGCTGTCATAAAACCAAACTACTCCAACTTGTATCTCCAGAAAGGTGGTCACTGCTTAGAGAAAAAAGAAAAAAAAAAAAAAAAAAAAAGATTAATTTGCAATTAACAAATCAACAGACATATCCAGCTTCTTAAAAATGCAAATGTTTTGTAATTTAAAAAGCAGACAAAAGAGCAGCTATCAGAACAAAAAAAGTTATGATGGAAGAGAGGCATGAGCTGCTCTACAGAAATATATAATATAAATGGCAAAAGAAAAGATTATTTTTCTAATATTCCAGCTGCCCTGCCACATGACAAAAAGGATATCCCAAATGGTACAAATTCAGAAGTCTTTATTAAAAAAAACCAAATCTTCCAACAGTATTTGACAACAAAAACTCAACCAAATTTATCTGCCACTCCACAGTATTTTAGAAATGAACACTGAAATCAGTTCATAAATTTTCATACAATACCTAAAGTAATCTCCTGCACTGATGGGTCTTCAAAATTTTCAGCATGTTATCATTTTCCAAGCATTCCTGTTGACTAGAGGGCCTCTTATTCTTTCCTTTGAATTTCTCAATTGCTCTCTGCTTTAGTCTTC